TTGTTGGCACTTGTTGTAAGTAGGTAGCGTGTATAATTTATTACTAAAATTTTATGAGTCCAGTTTTTTGTGTTAATCTTCTGATGATTTATATTATGTAGCCTGATGCACCAAGATTAAATAATGTATACTTTTAAAATTTTAACATAGTTTTCTAGTTTGAAATAAGCCCCGACTTATAAAAACTTTTTCAGATTGAGATTTACATTGCTTCTTTAAAAATTTAAACTCAAATAATTGAGACTAGTATTTGGTAATACTGATCACTCACACATTTCCTCTCCAACGTGGGGATTCCAGGCGTCATATAATTTTGGTAAAAAAAAGAGGGGTATAACTTACAATCTATTTAAACTTTAGGGGCTACCAAGTAATCCAAGTCACATGAAATGATATGACGAAGGGAGAAGGAAAAATCTATTCGAAGATGATAGGACATAAGACCATGAATGATTAGGTACAGAGGAAGAGGATAGCAAAGGGACATAAAGCTGAGAACACTGTTATTGAATCAGAAAACATTGAATTAATTTTGTGTGTGGACCACTTAGGACACTTGCACGTTTTTTGCTTTTTAACTTGGATCTTCCATTCTTCCTTCTGCTTTGGTGCTTACATGTGAAAATGATAAGTCCTTCAGCTTTTGAGACCTTGGGAACAAGCAAACCCTCTTTTAGGATTCTTCCAAAACGAATCACCCTCGTATCATCATGAAATCTTCCCTTTGCATTTTTCTCCATTTTTCATTTCCCACACTCAAAACCATCTTCAGATTTATCCAAAATATGCTGTGCCTTTTCTTTTATAAGACATTCTCTAAGTTGCATGAGGTAATTTTCTTTTGTTTGTTAAGTTACTGTTGTGTTTTTATGATTTATAACTAATATAAATTGAGTTCAATTAATCTGTATTTTAAAAGTAAAGACTAAGAATATAATAAATACATTTTTATAATTAATTTATATAAAAATTAATATTTATTTTAATATTATTATCACATGTAAAATTTTATTTATCTAATTAATTAAAACAAAGTTAATATGTTATTTTTTAAAATAAATTAATTATGTAATAGCATATATATTACATTAGTAAACGAACACCAAATGTACATGTTAGAAAAACAAACATAAATATTGTATTATTATTATAATTTTTAACTGAAAAGAGATTATCTCTTTTAATTCGATACCATGACAGGGTAATGAGAGAGAGATCCACATCTTATCGTGAATACGCAATAAAGGAGTTGTCATTGTTATTGATCGATAACTGATCAAGATACACAACATTCAAATTGCTTCACTGATTGATGTACAAATTTGATGACAATGTTCGTTGAAAATTAAGTAAGAAATTGGAATTTTCTTCTCATCATTGAAGTTGCTTGGCTCTGGTTTCTTCTCGTCAACAAGCAGTAGTGTTTCCATTAGCAAAAAGACAACTTAGCATTGCAAATCAAAGTCCTACTGGAGACATTGAGGCTGATTCATCATTCATGAGTGCTAACTAACCTACAAAATTGGAAAATTTCAACGTAATATTCATGTCCATTTGTCTAAATTAGTCCATGGTCTTGGGACCCCATTTTTCAATGACCACTACTTTCATAGCCCAAATCAACTATATTATGATTTGTGACCAAACTGTTCCGGACCTTCCTTTCTCAACCATAAATTAAAACATGGGCAATGCCAAATTTGATCCTAATCTTTCTCATAAATATCAGATATCACCCTAAAAAAATGCGTTCTCAATGAAGGCAATTTGGTATGGCGTATAATTTTACTATACAATCAGAAGATGGGAACAAGGTAGCTACGAAAAAAATTCTTAATAGCTTTTTTATTCAATTAATTTTTTCATTTATTTTTCAAATCTTTATTGTTAATTTTGATCTTTTAGACCAAGAGTTTAAGTAAATTTTGATGTTGCATATGACCTGATACTTGATAGGAATGATAACGAGTCCCTACAGAAAGAATAGGGGCTCCTCTCTCATTCACTTCCTTGCCAACTAAATGCAAGAGTTAAAGTGTTTATAATTATGGTTTGTGAGTTTGAGAATTGAGATATTTATATTTATTATAATTTATAATTTTTTTTATTAATTTATGGTTCCTCATAGGGATCCATAAATGGGGGATTCCTTGCCATATTTTGCAGGGAATATATCACCTCCATTTCTACCCCCATAAGAAGAAATATTTAGAAAATCTCCATGCTTACAATGAGAATCCTCACAGAGCTTTGTGATTCATGGAAGAAATTGCCATCTCTAGCTGCCAAGGCTTCGGTCTCCCAAGTCCTATAAGGGTCCCATAAAATGGCCAACGAGGGTTTCTGTCAAAAACTTATGACTAAAGGAAGGACAAAATTTGACTATTTTGAAAAGATTGAGGTCATATTAAAAAACAAAAATTAATCTTCATTTTATTTTTACCGTTTAATCCGTAAAAATATAAAACACAAAAAATAAATTGGGGTGGTACAAGAAAACTAAAGAAACGAATGATCTGAATGAGGTGCGCTGGACAACAAAACGACAGGACAAATTAAAAGCTGATATCTGGGTCTGGGGTCAACACTACGCTTTCCGGTGGCAGACATTAATTTTAACCCAAGACCCTCAGGCAGGGCAGGGCAGGGCAGGGCAGGGCCTCCCTAAATTTTCCTTGTCCGTGCTAAGGCTCAAGCGTCCCCTTATTGAAGCTAATTTGTTGGGGAACTAGGAGGTAGGTAGCCCAATTTTCAAAATTAGATCATGTACCTTTCCAGTGCAAGTCCAAATCCAATACAATAAGCTGCAAAATGCAGAGAAATTGGGCCGTTATCAACTTCTTCCTAGTTTATCACTAGTCCAATAAAACATTGCCTCTTAGAGTCTAAGAAAATACTCTTATTTCCAAATCAAATCTTCTTATAGCTTATTTAGTATGTGGGAAACGGGGAAAGACAGGTGACCTTAGAGCAAATGAAATAATTTAATTGATTATAATATTTTTATTCCTCTCCTTTTTTTTTTTCTTTTTACATTTTAGTTATTGGATTGATTCGAACCGTTGCTCTTAAGAAGAAGAATATAAACCTTACAAGAGTGGCTAAAGCCACTTAACCTACAGGGATCATGTTCTATTCCTCTCCTCTTAAATTAAATAAATTATTAGAGTTTAATCAAGTGAGTTTTAAACTATTGTACATATATTAGGTGCCTCCTTAGGGGGTGTGTCAAGTTGTAATAATTTCAGATCTAAGTTAGACATTTTAAATTCAAATTCTTGAGGTTATCTAGTGACATAACCAAGAATTAAGTAGTGGTAAGGCCTTTTCTTCTTCAAACTTGAGCTTAAACTTTTTTTCTTTCTTACAAAAAGATTAAAATAAGACCTTTAACCTTTCTTTTTTTCCTAAAATTTTATGTTTTTAATTTTATTTTTTGATTTTTTAGAACTCACGATAAGACCCATGTTCAACCATGAATACAAGGGAGTACCACCACTGCTATCTTTTATTTTATTATTTTATTTTATTATTTTTTTGACAACAAAAACATTTATTAAAAGTTAGTATTTGTTTTTAACACTTTGGGTTACATGGAGAAATTCTCTTTTATTATTATAAAATTCAATTATTTGATTTACAAGAAATTCAACTCAATTTGGAAATGTGAAATTTTTACTTTTTTTTCCCCCAAAATTTAGTAGTAAATGGTATTTTCATCAAGAGATTTTTGTTCTAGTAGGATTCTAATTATAAATGGAGATTAGAGCAGAGATTTTCTAAATTTTTCGTTTAATTAAAGTTAACTACTAAACATATGCTATCATTCTTAGTCCATTGCACTGAGGATACAGATAGGCAAAGAAAAATACAAAACAAAAACAGAAAGCGTAAGGATGGGAAATGATCTGCTGGTGGTGGGCTTTTACTGTGGTCTGACCTTCTGATTCAGAAGCATCTCTCGGAGCTCCACTGGATCAATCTCAGCCGCACAGTTCTCGGGCCTGTAATACCCAGTAACTGGATCTGGGGCCCATGAAGATGAGGCCCCAGAATCTGGCTTCATCGTGACCTTCTGATCGACTTTCCCCATCATACCAACCCTAGACCCTTCCCTAGCATAGAGTACCCCTTGCGGTGCCGCAGCGAACCCCCTCCTGCAAGAAAAAAAAAAAAAAAGAGGTTCAAAATCATCGTTAGAACAAAAAAAAATAGTATTTATTTTTGGTATAATCAGTGCAGGAGAATACATATTTCTATACCACCGACGTTTAAAGGAAAATTACTAAATTTAAAATTTTAATATAGTCAATTTTAAATAATTTTAGTATTCATAATAGGAAATTTTGTTCTACCATCTGTATAGTAAAATAAAAATTATTTGATGAGAAAAAAATTCTTAATAAAAAGAATTAATTCTCTTTTAATAATTTATATTACTTAATCTCATACAATAAAAATTATACCTCACTTTTTTCTATATAATAGATAGAGTTCTTAAATTTCCGGGACGTCTATTAAACCATTCATCAGCTGTATCCTAGATTAATATCATTAATGAAAATCTTGATATATCAGGACTTCTTAATTTTTTGTTTTACCTAATATATAATATAATAATTAGAATCCATACTCAAATCTCAAGAAATTCAAAGTTAGTTAGATTTTTTTTTTCTTTTTTGGCAGATGTGTATAGACATAGATATATAAAAGACTGGTTATTCCATTATTGTAGAAGGTATAAGAAATAGCTGAGAATTAGAAAGATGTCATGTGTAACTAGATATTTTCTTTTCTCTTCATTGCAATTAACTAGAACAAAAAAAATAATAATAAAGGTTTAGTTACAGTTTTACCACAAAATCATTTTTTTTTTAAGATAACATGGGTATGGATTATTTAGATCTTTGGTCTAACTAATTTTCTAAATATTTCTAAATCAAACAATCAGCTTAATGATAATAAAAAAGCCTGAAGCATGCATTCTCAACCTTAATTATTATATATATATAAATTAATGATCATAAGACTTCTAGAAACTATCTACTCAAACGAACTTTTTATAAAATTAAAAAGGCCGGCCAAGAATCAGAGTTTTCTATAATTTTGAGGAATTATAAAGGCAACAGACAAAAAATTATAACATTAATACTTTGATTATGTCATGAAAAAACAAGAAAAAAAGAAGAAGAAGAAAAAGACGTTAAACTCACCGGAAGATAGAGAGAGAAAGGCCATCAGCGGCGGCGGCTGTTGCGGCAGCAGAGATCAGCTTAACGTTAGAGAAAGAGCGAGCCATCACTTATTTAATTTAACGACGTATGTTAGGTATATATATATGCTATTTTTTGTGTAGGGGGAGCTGCTGCAGAAGATGGTCTTCGGAGGAAGAAAGCTCCTGCAGCAGCTAGATTGCACGGCGGGGCTCTGCTCTTTCTCAGGTAGCGAGGACGAGATTAGGGTTGTGATTCTGTTTATATAGAGCGAGAGGTTTTGGGTTGGGTTGGGCTTTTTTCTTTTTTTTTTCAATAATTGAATACAGAGAGCGTCAGCGTCTTTGAAAACGGTCATCTTAGGAGTCGACACGTGGAACGCGTAATCGAATTTTAAAATGCTGACCTTATCTCGACCGACCTAGAAAATATCTTGACACTAATGATTGGGATTAATCTTGTCTAATGATCATTTTTAATTTAATTAAAATGATGGGGTGACATTCAGGGGCGGTGGTGGTGGTTATCTATAAGTTTATTTATATTAGTATTTATTAATTAAAATTTTTTTATTTAAAATTATAAGTTTAAATTTTTATAATATTAAATAATTAATTTATAATAAATTTTAAAAAAAATTAAAAAACTGGAAGCTTATC